ATTTACAAGAGCTGAAATCAACAAATATATAACAGAAATAATCCGCAAAAAATATTAGATTCTTACTGATTTTTAAATATTACTATCGCTACCTATGCAATTTAACTCACTGCAACTGCTGCCTCGACTTCCTCAGGAAAATCAGGCGTCATAACTCTCACAGAAAAAAATGAGTGTAATTTGACTTTCTCGATTTCGGGGCCTATTGTCAATTGTAATGTCAGCGCGTTTCGTTACCATAACCGTAGACCTTAGTAACTTATTATTACAACAGTGTAATCAATGTTCAATTGTGCTGTGATGCTAACTCCCTATTAACCATGTTCTAGTTCCTGTCGCAACGAAAGGACAAAGATCAAAATAAGAGGTTGTTCAGTACGGTTAATTACGGTTGAGTTTGTTAATTCTCTTTAGCCGCTACAGCAGTCGCAAAGGCCATTCGTGAACACTGAAACGATCAGCCAACGACGATCTGGTGAATCATTATAAAATCCTAACTGACAGTCAGTGGCTAGGAAACAGCCACCATTGCACTGGAGTTTTGGCTCCTGGCTAGTTAACGCGGTGGCCCAATAGCATTCTTCTTACTGGCGCAACGGTCCTCCGTCATTTACGCGTAAGTAATAAAGATTACGATTTTCGATGCCACAGACATTGGCAGTAAAAGACAAAGTATTACCATAGGCTGTGCTTAGTGTGCTCAACCATGGTACCATAAATCAACCACAAAAACGCCTGAACATAGGTAAATAACCTCTTCGTTATGTACGACAAACAGATATAAATAAAAGCGTGCGTCACTTATATGCCTCAGTATGATTCTACTCTAAAGAATGTTTGCTGTCACATTTTAAGCCTGTCCCACAGACGTTGCTAGCGTCATAGAAACTGTCTCCATTATTCTGTAACGTGCATTAGTGAACGAATGACCGGCTAGCAGGAATGCTAACTTATTTTATGAGTTGAAGCTATATTTTGATTTGCCTACCTCATTTTTTAACTTTAGACTTTAGACTAGAGAATGAGCTAGGCATAGTTTGGAACATTCGCCTGTTGGCCAGCTGTCTGTTAACGTAAGGACCACAATCGCGCACCGCTGGAAACTGATGAAGAGAAGTCACAACGCATTTTCTTGAAAAAGATTCTCGATAGACAATGCTGCACTTTGAAATTCAGGTCGTGAAGCTTTGCCGATCAGCGGAGGACCGCCAAAATCAAGGTCACTCTGAGTGTCGTCCGACATATCGAATGGGATAGGGAGTTACGAACTAATCTGTCATCAGGTGGGTGAAAGAGAATTAGAGTTCTACAGCATACAAAACAGACAATACGACCGTCTATCTAATACACACTCTGACACAACCACACCAAAATGTCGTGCTGATTCAAAGTGTTTGCTCAACGGCTTGCTATACATTTGTTTGCTGGTTGTACTGAAGCGCATACATATGAATTCCATACTAACGGGGCTTTATAGCTAAAGAGAATATTTCCGTCACATTTGAGAGTTTAAACCGGCATATGGAAAGCGCAAAACAAAGTACTCAACCACTGCACCACTGCCCCCCCCCCACCCACCACAATCTAAAAACATGATTCAGATGTACTTTCAGCAACAACTTAAATACAAACTGAAACACTGTTAAAGTTATAAGGTAAAACCCTTGATACATGTTATGATTGGTCTGATAGGAGCATTTTCTACAGTTAGTTGGTCGCTTAATGATGAATAAATGAAACAAAGCCGGTGCCGAACCGCCCTGCTTCCAATGGTCTCAATCAGTGGTGATGTACGGCAGAAGAAATCAAAACTGACGATGAACGACCTTGTGAAAATCTGAACTTTATGCCCGTTTCCCCAATTTACTTATTCCGCTATTTCATAGTCGAATCTTTAGGTGAGGTCATCGTCTACTGATAAAAGGCTTCCATTTCAATGTAGTTACCTGTTCCCGAAGAACAAAGCTGGAAAAACAAAAACTGAGATCTCATTATCGATCACAGTTAACCTTAAAATGCTGCTTGCAGAGAAAACTTAAAAGTCTCAAGTACTGATACAGCTTATAAGATGAAATTATAACATTACGAGTTATTAAATAGTCAATACTAAAAAAGAAGTCTGCCCTAAACCGTTTGCGTTTACTTCAACAAACGAAAAGGGTCATGAAGATGAGAAAACCAATGACAAAAATAGTCATCAAAAAAGGTCATCGACGTCTGTGTCGACAGCCGTGCCGCATCTGAACTGCATTCCAGTCGAAAACCATGAAAAAAAGTCCACAACAGCCGACCGGTATTTAAACGTGTGATCGCTTTTACGCAATAACAGCAGTAAATGAGTAGTAATCTTGACTCGTGCATAAAGCAGTCTCGCAAGTCGTTGACAGAGGGCCGAGTTACAGATCGAAAAGACCACAAGGGAACACATTTTTCATGTACCTTCCTGCAGTAAAAGAAAAGTAAGGGCCAAGTTTGTAACGGTAGGAATGCCTGTCTTCATTAGACTTTCATTTTGGGGTCATTAGTGGCGCTCTTCTTTTCATGAAATTAACGCTGGGACACTGATCTGTTTCCAGGCCATCAGCAATGGGTGCCTTATTTTAAAGGCAGAACGTACAGAAAGTGTGGCAAGCATGGTTTGTAGTCTCCTGTTTCCTTCCTACAGAAAAGTACTCGTTTATCAATCTCAGAAGGAAGAAACGCGAGTGGAGCCGACAGAGGCTCAAACCCGGGACCTTTCGGTTCTTAGACAGAAGCTCTACCGTCTAAGCAACCGTAGTCTAAGACAGGGTGCGGCAAAGTCCTTGTTCAAGGGGATTCGTGTTTAAGACAAAGATTACCGGAGTCACCTCCCGAGTTTGATTTCGAAGCCGATATCAATCGCATTGTGTCACCACGCCAATGAGGTACATTTATGGCTCCAGTATACGCGGGAAAGAAAGATGTAACTGTAACAAACTCCTGTCAATTATTTGGATTCACACGGCGTAGTCGAACCGATCGCCTTGCTTCTAGTGTCATAGGTGACCGTTTAAGCAGGCCACGACTTGATGATATATTGGCACCTGCAGTACAGACGCGCGAAACCGCTAAACTTTATTGGGTCGAACAAAAAAAATGATCGACCACCAACGGATATACTTTGAATCGCAGACAAACATAAGAAAAATCAATTCCAGATTTACTAGTACACTGCCAGTTTTCGATATCGCCGGTGAGAATAACTATGCAAAAATTTCTAGCGTTTTCTCTTTACGAAGTAAATCGGTTTTGTGCCTCTGCACTGCAGGTACAAAAATACCATGGAGTCGCTGTCTGTTTAAACGGACCCCAATGCTACAAGAACCAAGGTGACGGTGCAACTATGCCATGTAAATTCGGAGAAGTGGCAGGAGATAGTTGACGGACTGTTACAATTATTACAACAACGTCATAATGAGAGTTAGAGAGGAATGAGAAATGAATTACGTGAATCTCGTTCTGCTCAATGTCCATGATCGATAAATTACTCGGCTCCAAGTGAACCATTTGCTACAGAACGAATTTACATCCACAACGACCGAAAACTAATACCTCCCTTACCTTGAAGAACGCCTATGAAATATGGACCGATCACCTGAGAGAACAACTTTGCCAAACCATTTTTTAATTAAACACTGAATGCTGTTTTCTCAGCCAGCTCTGATCTGTCTGACAACACGAATGCGATTAGGCAGGCTTAACAGTCAGCTATCGCTTCAGCAGACTCAGTTTATCACCATACCTCTGCAGCGATTCTCAACCTGACAAAATAATCTTGTAGTGGGTGCAGCCTGGTTCTTATCGTTTTCTATTTTCATAATTGATTATCATATTCATTACTTTGCCACTTACTGATAATGTGATAATCATGAGACGTACAAAACATCATACAGATCTTGTGGCATTCAAAAGGCATGAACAGGATTTGTAGTTTCTTTATTCAAAACAATTATCACATCAACCGCATTAAAACTGTTGTGCCTTGCCATCAACGAACAACCGTTCTTCCACTCAAGCAGCTTATCCTTCCTAGTCTTCTACGCAAACAAAGGGTGTGCAAAAACTGCAGAAACATCCATAAAAAATATATGGGAATGTACATTTGAGTTCGTTTAACTGGCATAAGCATAAGCTAATGCAATGAAACAAAATTAAGGCAGTCTCGTTCCTTGCTTCTTTGCTGTAGTCTAGTCGATTTCGAATCCCTTCAGACTTGTTTATGTCATTGTTCTTCGACTCCTTTTCTAAGCTGCCTCTGTACCTGTTCATGCTCTACTAAAGCGAATTTAAAAATGATGATCTGAATAGCCCTAAATCTACTTTGTGGACGCAGAAAGTAGCATTCCTTGGAAGGAACTAAAAATCTCTGTACGAATCGTGTGCTCAATGCATCTCTGCTTCCTTGCCACCTCGTATTATCAAATTCAGTTGATTATATCGCAATCTCTCAGAACGTGCAACTACGCATCTAGTCCTCACTCACCTGCTCTAAATTTATGTGCATTTAGTTCCATTCAGTTCAAAGGTTCATTCATGGCGATCTACACCGAAGAAAAAAAGTCATATTTTGGAATCAGTGTTGAAGTAGCTATTTCTGTTGCATAAGAGTTTTACTATTTTATCGGCGTTATATGCACATTATGCCGTTTGATAATCTTGCTGAAAAAGAATGTAAAACCCATGGATTCAGATGCTGCAGCAAGAGAAACTGCTTTTATAATATATTCTTTTAGAACGTAGCAAGTCTTCGATGTTAATGTTAGAAATAAGAAGGTGAAACGTAGAGGCTGGACAAGTTGCAGGAATAACCGACTATCACTAGACCAGGGAGACAGACTTTGTTCCAAGGAGAGAAACGGAACATGGAAAGACCTTCGTATGGAAGGAACCTTCGTATGAACGCAAGAAGTTTGTTGGATCAGATGGATAAGAACTGCAGAAGAAAGGAGATTCGATTTTGGCAAAATTCTTGAAGAGGTCTTCATTCAGCAGTAAATCTAAAAATGCTGTAAATGATTATGATTATGTTCTGCTATGCCAGTTAGCGCTGTTGAAAAATAGTGTTCTTTCGTGACTCAGTTCAAGCACTACAACTTCAAACTTCAGTTCAGGTGGAGGAAACTTATTGTATTTTGTCACAGCGTTTCTGTGCCATGAATGTACCATATTATACCAACAACAACCAGATGAATACTTTACTTCGTCCTTCATCATGTCAAAAGATACCCAAGCAACCTGGCGTTCAATCACTATCTTTTATGCGAGATGATATAATGATTTGGTAAATCAAAAACGGGAAGACAACACCCGTTAATTACCTTTAATGAAAGCTATCTGACGTTTCGGACCAAGCTCGGTCAGCTGGAATTCTCAAAATGGAAGAAATTCATTACAGCCTGTACCTCGCTGAGTTTATACTGGAATTACAGGATTTTTGGACCACCCAACGAAAACAAACAACATTCACGAAGTAAACGCAAAACCTATAAACAATGCCTACGACTTACCTCGTGTTTGTCGGGCAAGAAAATCTCGGTCAGGGCCAGGATGTTGTGACAGTGTTCGATCTGCGTTCGACCGGCGCTTTTGTACGACAGAACGAACAGACGAAATTTGGACAAGATCTAAACGACATCCGTCGCCGGATAATTTCATAGAAGCAAGCAAACGAACGAATAAACTAAAGAAACGTACGAAAATCTTCGAGTCTGGTTTCTCATTTTTCCAACTGGCATCCACCGGACAGATAAAGCTGATGTTCCAAAACTTGGCACCCAGAATCTGCTTACAGTTACCTGCAAGAACATAGGTATCAAAGGACATAGTGAGGAAGACAGGATCCGGTGCCTGGCTGGCAAAACGACGTAAAGGCTATTATGAAAGTACCTCTAATCGTTGAGATCACGTCATGATATGTTCGTGAGTCATCGCCGGCGCCCATAATCCGAGCACTGACCGCCGCCTCGACAATGCTGGTCGCACTGGTCATCGGCCGCCGTAGCGAGATGTATGCTACTCTTCTTGATTAAGGCTCAACGTCGCCGCAGGTCATCAACTGACATCTATGCGGTCGCGCGTTTTACGTAATACACTTTATAAACGCGGATCCTATGATAGCGCCAGCGGATGAACCGGAGAATCATCAAGTGAAAAGAGTGGGGGTTGGGGACGAGAAACTGTTAGCCGATAACTGGAACAAAATGCTTTATTCAGAGTAGAGGAACGAAAATGGATCAGACAACCCGAGATCTGAAACTTTCAGTTACCTCCACACGATCACAGTTCCACTCTCAGACGATAAACATCGCTCAACCGGACTTCGTTTTCCGGCTAGCGCATAAAAACAAAACGCTCTTCCAGTACTGGATTAATCATTTCCTATGAACACGGCAAGGTGAGCATTAAAATAATGGCTTCGCCTACAGTATTTCACCATTGCTCTTTCTGACAGTTATGAACAATTGACAAACTGTAATAAAACAGTACATTGTGGAAACATAACAAATGGGTTACCTAATAAATATAATAGCAATAAACTTAATTGCTTGTTGCAAAATTACGGCTTACACATCATTTCGATATATCATGAGCTATAATTTAAATTAAATGCTTTAGAAATAGTAGAACAAAAAATTTAAGACAAATATTGTGACTTCCGCCCCTTGGCTACAGCACCGTAATACAGATATTCGGTTTCCTCTTGGTCGGCGAGATATTTGAAAAGTAAGCGAAAGTGGTCTATACCTAAAACAATTTTACAAGAGAACGTACGAATCCAAACTGTGCTGAGCATTGCAGTAATGTGATTTGGATGGTAAGCTAACAGAGACCGTAAAATCCCTACATAATCAAGCAGCAGGTTTGTGTCGGGATTAACGATTAGAAGACGACAGCTTTCTCCGCGACCCGAAAGGAGAAGCGGCGATGGAAGATGAAGATGATGATGAAGACGACAGCTTTAGAAGTGTGCTCGTTAATTTCCGCCAAAGGTGTGAGCTGTGTCCTTATTAGTTTGGAATTTATATGAAATTCAGGCAAGCACTTTTATTGATATTTTAACTAAGTAACAGAGGAAACCAATTTGAGTGTTTCTTGCCCGGCAATCTTGATCTTTTCCTTAGCACCATGACTGCTTCCTTGATGCCTATTTTTTGCCATTTAGCTATTATGCGGATGATACTGATTGCATCCTACTGCATGGCACAATTGTTTAGCGTGCAGCATTCCGCAATGGCAGAGTACTAGTCATCCCTCCTGATAAAAACCGGTATTCACTAATCCCGTTTTTTCAGCTATCTGCCAGTTTCTCCAATATAACTCTCGCCAAACGAACAGTTTATCCGATATAGTATATCGGCATCCTCATATTTTCTTTATACATTGCCTTGCCTAGGAGAATTCCAAGCTTGTTTAGAGATCTGCAACCTGTACTCGCTTCTGATGCTTGACTCTCTCGCGTAAATTCTTTCGGTGTGAGGTGACTACACTGCGCGAACAGTGACAGTTTCACGCATGAACTACGATTCGGTAAAAGTCAAAAAATGCATGACTACATGATGTTAAAGTATCTTAAGCGTCAGGTTGATTGTCCCATTGACGGAAGTCTGGGACCATTAAATCAGGTTCCTGAAGCCACCGTCCAACAAATCAACGGGAGCAGCTGACGTTGCAAATGAGTGAATAGACGTCACATCATGTGAAAAGTTTTTGTGATTATCGACTTTTCACGAATTCTAAGTGACCTAGGTCTTCAAACGCAAAACTTTTTGCCGCAATACGGTTAGCCCTTTAGCAAATTTTTAGCAATCACTTTTCTTCTTTTATCTCGGCACATGTTCTTATACTACCATTCATGATATTCGACATTTGCTTCTACTTCGAATTGTGTTTGTTCTTTTCGGCATGGAAAATGTTAAAAACGGGCTGAATGACTGCGTTAGTTCGACGACGAGATCAACTTTTTATCCTTCAGTCGTTCCGGTTCTGTTTCAAGTTTACTTTTTGGTCAGCGCTTAATCTCTACGCATGCGACGGATATTTTTGAAACGGTGTTTCAGATATTGATTTTAGTCGTCTCGCGTTTCGATTATTTAAGTTGACAAACTAACCTTCGAGAAGTGTAAATTTTCTAGCTGGCACGTAATTTCCGGTTTAAATACCGTTAAATATTTCCGGAGAGCCTGTTCCTATAAGGACACGAGTTAAGTTTAAAAATGGCAAACGTTTGAATACATATATTGATTGGAGATTTCAAACTTCGAGGTTAGAGCCTAGATTAACGATTGCTGCAACTTTATCTCTGTTACTTCCTATGCCGAATTTAATCAATTATCATGTAAATCTAATAATACTGAAGCAGTGTTGCTTGAAACGGAATCTATATGACGCAGCTGACCACTGCTTGATCTCTGACATGCAAAAGTCGGTGTATTGAAAGCTCAATAGTCTTATAAGTTCTAACTTATCGAATCCGCTTTGCAAGCCTCCAGAAGGCGACCAAATTCCATATGCCCGAGGAAGGCTAAGTTGTAATGGCCTGTTAGGCCTGTCAGACTAAGGGAGGAAGAGGACTCCCCTAGGAGATGGCCTAAAGCTCTTACACTCTATACCAAAAAGGACTAACGGTAGGTGAAAGTGGGTGAATGTAGAGATCAACAGACTAAAGACAATCAGAAAAACAGTGTAAGCCAGACAGACAAACAGCTGAATATATTGGCAAATTTGTGGCCTAAATGATTATTAGATGGATTAGTAGCTTAATCAAAAAGTTATGCCGAATTTCAATATCACGGATCTCCTATATGGTGCTGAACTGGTTTTTCTAGCTTTTTGATACTACAACAAAATTGCAGAATTGTAACTCAGTCGCAACGTAACGGGATGGATGCTTGCGAACTGGATGAATGCAAAAATGA